GAAGACTACAACCTGTGGGTACTGCGTAGAATACTTTGAGGACTGCAGCTTCTTAATTTGCCGAACTACTTCGATGTTGTTATAAAGTTCATACAAATCATTGTTCCCTCTTCCATCGTCTTCGGTAGTCGTTTATAGTCCTTAGAATCTTTCTGTCAAAAACTCCATTAACTGCTTTACCGTCCACGCTCCTGCGCCATACATCAGGTTCGACATAATAAGAGACTTATAAAATGTGATTTTCGTTTGTCGAGAGGGGATTTTACTTCTCACTTTCCTACTCAGCTCAAAGTAGCACCTGTTGGCAAGAATAATTCTCCGTTAGATTTCAAAGCAGACATTTTTATTGGTGTTAGTACTGGTGCCAAATATGCGAAATTATAACTGTCAACAGGGGCTTGAAGCTCAGTAAATAACTGCTCATTTGATGATGGGTGATTCATGCGTTTGGCTTCTCCATCCACTTTCGAGAAGGAAAAACAAATGGCGCGCTTCTTGAGGCTGATAGTAAATAATTTCGTGACTAAAGCCTACAAAAAATTGCCGCAAAAGCTCGACTACATATACATAGAAATATATTATACGAGCAATTAATTGTGAAGTTACTGTTTCTACTTAGTTTTTATCAAACAAATATAAAGTACTAGCTGACCCGACAGACGTTGCCCTGAGCAAAGTTTTATACATTTTTTCTGTAATTATTTTGCAAGTTAGAGAAGAGCTTTTGTAAACTTGTGGAGAAAGTAAAAAGGAGAGAAAAATATATTTACGACTGATATTGCTGCAGTTTTATTGAAAATTTTAAGTTTCAGTAAGCGCTTAATGACTTACGACTATTTAGTTCATCACAATGCTGCATGATATACAATGCGCCGTATGAATAAAAACTATAAAATTGCTTTTTCTTAAGCGTTCAGACCTTTTACTCGACTTAAACTATGTTCACATATCAATATTATCTCAATCAAAGCTAGTTTTTTAATCACCCCGTTTACACAGGCAAATCTCAGATTATTAGCCGTCAAATTTGTTGTGCTTGTTATTCCCACATCTCAAGGAAAATTTATGTTTCTTCTCTGTGCCACCGTGATCACGTTTTTCTGTTATAATAAGCAATATAAATATATTTTAACTTAACATTTTATTAAAAATACCTTTACAAACCTCTTTTACTTGCTAGCGTACATTTTTGTTTACTTTTACATTTGGCATTTCTCCTCTCTTTCGCAAAAACAATCGATAAAACTAGGATGGACACCGAAAAGTTATCGGTTAAATCTGAGATTATTTTATAATTACAGATTAACAAGGGACGAATTTTATACGGCTAATCTCTTGTTATAATTACAGATTAGGGTGTTAAGCTCGAAAATGAGGATAATCTACTTATATGTGAACCTAGTATTATTCAAATAAATTTAAGTAAAAGGTCTGAAGGTGTAAGCAAAACAAATTGCTTAATTTTTATTCATACATTGTTTTTTGATTTATTATCTGGCGCGTAAGCAAACAAAGCTGATGGTTTTCGGACACGGGTGCAGGCGACATATAATTGACCATGTGAGAACCATGGAATTTCAATATTAATACCGCAAACACTCAATGACAGTCCTTGGGACTTGTTTATAGTCATCGCAAATGCAAGCGAACGGGAAACTGCAAGCGTTTGAATTCGGTGGGAATCATTGGGATGCGTGGTATCAAAACGTCTTCTCCTTTAAACTTTCCTTTGATAATTGTTGCTTCAAAGATGTTGCTCATCAATTTCTTCACCGCCATCTGGGTTCCATTACAAAGACGTGCTTGGTTGATATTTCGCAGCATTATGATTACCGATCCGACTTTCAACTGGAGACTGTGAGGCGGTAGTCCTGGCAATTCTAGCGAGTTTAAAAACTCGGTTGGATAGTGCACATCATTTTGGCTAGTTACGGAATCCATCGGTTTGTAAGTCAACTCATTGACATCGATGTAGCACGTTCGCTTAACCAATCATCATTTTTGTAATTTTCCTCAATATTTTGGAATACTTTTCGTATGAGTTCGTTCTTTGATTCGGTGAACTGACATAAGCCGGAGGGCAATATAATGCGGGGGTTCTACCGTTGCCAATGACCAGTAATTGCTTTGAAAATACCTTTCCAAATTGGTCGACACGTATGTGTTTACTTAATTTTAAAGTATGTAAGTACATGCTTCCACAAAAAGGCCGACTTGAAACATGCATTGAGTTCATCGGCTGGCGTTGACCGTGGAACGACGGGCAATGTTTGGCGAAAATCTCCTGCCAACAGAATCATCGCACCACCAAGCATGTTCTGATTATTTCATAGATCTCGCATCGTTCGGTCTAATGCCTTCAAAGACTTTTTATGTGCCATCGTAATTTTAGTGCTGAATGAGCCGTTCGGCCGTCTTCTAACAACGTACCTGCAATTTTGAATGAAGCAAGTGCAATTTCAATGTCATTCTGCGAGCGAATCGTGGATAACATTAATTAATTAATTAATTGATCCCAACGGTTTTTACCCTCCATTCCCGCTCAACCAATGCAATCAAAACAGTTTTCCCAGGTCCACCGGGAGCATCCAAGCAGAAAACCTCTCCAGTGCCATCGTTCACAACTTTTATGAAAGTGTTGTATGCATGTTTTTGATCTAGAACTGATTCTTTCAATGCTTCGCAGTCATATTAGGGGTATTCTCGAAGACTTGCACGATGCATGGATTGCACGAAATGCAAACATATTATTCCAAATATCGAAGAGTACGAGAGCACCCCTTTGCAAAGTGGTAGCATGCATGGGTAGCAAGCAGCGAAATTATGTATCAAATACAATAACAAGAGACAGCAAAACAAAAATTAAGCGAGCGAGATGAGAGGAATGAGAGAAATATGTAGCGATTCCAACAACAAAACAACTAGCACAGGGTCGCATTTATCTTGCTATGCTATTTTGCAAAATATACATGTACATACAAGGGTTTCGACGTTGCATATTTTGTAGCGATAGGAAATGTTGTTTCCTATGTATTTTGGTTGTTGTGTGTTTGCAAGTTATGCAATCCATGCAATCCGTGCTACGTGCAATGGCTTTGCAAGATTTAGAGAATATCCCTATTGTTTTTCGCGTGCTATATCCTGATTAAGCGCATGATATCGCCATGCACATGTCCTCAATTAATATCTATGCTTTGTTGTAAATTTCCTCGATCAGTTGCAAATCTCCGAGTCTACTGTTCCCAAAAATGGTTTTCTTTGCACAGCACATAGTGAATATGTACTAAATCGGTCCATAAATACGATTTTTCTGAATATATCGGCCCTTATTACGAGTTTTTAATAAATCTGTAGACGAATTTCTTTAATATATTGTATGTCAAAATATATTCGAAAGACTACACTTAAACGTTTTCTACTCCTGACCAGTTTACTAAGCTCTCATCCTCTGACGAATCGTCGAACCAGTACTCCGTTGTACTCATTTTTATAAGCTTCTATAAGCTCGCTCTCTTTTCTATTTCATTTTAATTTGCACAAATTTACATAAGTATGTAGAAGCAATTAAGTTTGCGTTAAAAAATTTACTATTGTGAACAACCTAAACGAGCCAAATTCACAATAGCGGTATTCTTCATCAAATGAGCGTCATAATACCAAATGAAAATTCGTTCGATCAGCACCATAGTCAAAGATCGAATGCAACTCATAATAGAGGCCTTCGACTCGACGGTTTGTCAATTGATATAGATCAAAAACGGTATTCAGTCGTGTACATGTGCTGCTAAATTGGCTATGTATCCGTTTTTGGCCGTTAATATAATCGGTAAAGGCATGAAAAAAAAAGATAAAGTTCTGTCAAGATATGTTGACAAAATTTGTTGTCAAAATGACATGACAGTTTAAACCAGCCTTAACACATTTTTGTGCATTTTTGAAGCGTTTTAAATCGAAATTTCGCTGCATACATTTCGGCGCCGAAGGTATGACAATACTCATTGCTGTAAGTGATATTGTGCGTGAAAAAACGGTTTTTATGACCACTAAACGCTTAAAAAAGAACTCCAACTGGCAACGCTAAGGACCTGCCCTTCTATGTGGGCACAACCCTGGCAAGGTTAACCTAACCTAAAACCCACTACAAAAGTTAAATGTATATTTTACAGCTGACTAAAAGTATGCAACATTTTACAAAAGTTTTTGGGTAGTACACTTGTACAAATAACACTTGTAAAAAAAATCGCAAATCGAAAATATATTACATTAATCTTTACATTGGAGGGCTGCATTAAAGTGACGGAAATCTTACCAACTCACAGGCATAAAAGTTGTATACGCATTTATATTTGTTTGTTCATTTGTATATATATACTCAAAATTATAATCTACATAATTTTTATGTATTCAATATGCAAATGAATATTCATATAAATGTATGCATAATAAACTGATATAATGTAATCTTTTATTTAAAATGTACTTATAAAAGCAAACCCACTAAGGTTTAATGTAAAATAGAAATAAATCGTTCAATATATTAGCTAAGCAAAAAATAAAGCTATTGCATAATGGCCCGATTACGAAAACACTGGTTGTCATTATTTAAATAAAAAAAAGATGTATGTACGTTTTAAGTTATGAAACACTATCGTCTTTCCCTGTCAACTTTGTATCTCAAAAACCAATACAAATAGTTTTATGTTTTCTTTCCACGCATGCGTGAAGCCTCTGTCACCAAATTGTATAAATATAACTAATATTTACATAGACATTAATGTACAATGTCTAACTTATCCACTAAATATTTAGCTAATTTGGCTGCAGCGATTGCGCAACAAATTAAATAAAATAGCTAATGACTGCGACACAGAGCTAAAAAAGCAGCGCGCACAATGCGATAAATTAGGAAATAGCAGCAGCGATATATCATTTTGCAGCTTAAGTGCAAAACTACTAGTATCAAACGCTGGCCGCAAGCGTGCGTGCAGAAGCGCCACAATGCAGCCACTTAACAATCAATAATTATTCATTTTGCGCCATTGTTTCATCACAAAATTACCGCAACACCAACTGCCCGAATGACGTTGACTATCGCCATCTCCACTGCTGCCAGCCGTGCCGTGATCGCCACCGGCCTTACAATTTGTCATGTTGCTCCCATTGCCCAGCAATGCGGCGCCACAGCCGTGATGTTCATGCTCCGCGTCGTCGCTATCACGCGCGTCATCAACAACATCTTCCCCGCCGGCCAAGTGCGGTGTGCTGCGACGCAGTGTCGTCATCTTGTAGCCTGTGGCTTGGCCATAACCCGACATCATGTAACCGCCACCATAGCCGGCGTATCGGTGCGAAACCGTTGTTTCGAATGAGCGATTTAAGCGGCGATCGTATAGTCCTGGCGCTGGTGGACGTTGTTGCTGTTGTTTCGGTGGCTGGCGCTGTGTTGACGGCCCCTGCTCGGTTATCGTCAGTGGCGTTGAGTCGAGACGCTCCGAATCGCTGCGATTACGCGCCGAGGACGCGGACGCTGGCGCTGGTGGAGGTGAACGCTGGTGTGTCTGGTAGCTATTTTTCACCAGCTTTGGTGTTGGTTTATTTTTACGTGGCAAGAGTGGTGTCATGAAAATATTGTCATATCCCGAACCGAAGCCGCTCTTCAAACGATTGAGCGACTTGCGCGTTGCGCGTTCCTCTGACAGTGCGCGTTCATAGATGGGCAGACTAGAAGGACCCGCACCAGCGGTGGAGGAACCGGAAAGTGAATAGCGATAACCGCCGGCATTCACGCTCCCAGCTATTCCTGTTGTTGCAGCATTTAACGATGAAACCGAGCTGGAATATAGATTAAAATTGTTTGGACTAGCCTCGCGCCAAATGTACGAAGAGTTGAGGCTGTTGGTGGAGTTTTGTTGGTTAGTCGCGCCGCTGCTGCCCGGAAATGGGACGCCTGTATTGCAGAGATGTGGCAGTTGTGGATTTGAAGATGAAAACGTTTTGCTAGTCTGTAGCTTTCCGCCGCGTATCGGCAAGCAAGGTGTCCATGGTTGCAGGGCTAAATGGGTCGGAACAAAAGTGTAAGAGAATGCGGGGAAAAGAGAGAAAGACAAAGATAGAAATGAAATCGAAGAACGAAAAAAGACGATAACCAAACACAATTATTGAAAAAAAACGGAAGTAAAAATGGTGTGAGACCGCAATGTAAGTAGACAATAAAAATTGGGGGGCAACAAAGCGCAATGACAAAAACAATATGGAACAAAAAACACAATGGACCAAAACACCACAAAAATCCAAAAACAACGGGTATACTTGTATAATGTTACTTAGAGGAGTTATCATAAAACTAGTGAACGTATTTGACGACAAGCTGCGAGGGTATTAATATGATTAAGTGATTTAAGAAAGGTTTTTGAAAGCAGGACGATTAGAGAGAAAGGAAGTTATTTAAAAAAAAATACCAGCAAATATTTTGAGTTTTATTATTTTAAAGAACATTTAGATACAGGTTTCACTAGTTTATGTACACGAGTATATGGAATTAGAAGAAGGATGATTTCGATTTGCTAAATAAGTTGAAGTGCAGCGTTAGATAAAAGAAACCCGCTATTTTTTTTTTACTAAGTACTTATATACATAAAAATTAAAAAATCTTAATTTGTTTTAAGGATTAAGAAAGCCTAACCTAACCTAACCTAAGCACAGCATAGTCTGATATAAAATTTATGTGTTTCGAACTAAAAGCGCGGATAGGTTTTGGGGCCATCTCTTCAATATTAACACTGAATAGCCTAAGGGGTACAATAAACATTGCGGTGTAGGTAATATATTTATGACTTACGAAACTTAAGAGTTAATATGCATAGCATGTTTGGAGGTAATTAAAGATTATTAGCAAGACAATACAGGAAGCCTAGGATATTTACGATCTGTATTATAGTATCAGTATACTATGTAGTATCAAGTTTGGCTTGTGTTCCTTCGTTACGTAGATATCGTAGAAGAAAGTGTAAGATTTTATGCAAGGAAGAATGCAGATACATTCACTTTCGAAAACAAGTCATCAATGTCATTGGCCAACGCCAACATCGAGAAGTATTTGGCGCAAGAGATCAAGGAAACGCTTGAAATAGAAAAGTTAGACTGTAGCGGGGACGTCCTGGACATGGCACTGCACTGCAAGACCTTCTCTTTAATTCTGCTTTGATTTGAGATTTGATCGCGTAATGACACCGCAGTATTGCGGCTACTGGGATAATTCCCAGATTAGCGCTTAAGTCCAGCGACTTAGGACCGTACTCTCCCATGAGCAGCTTATCAGTTAGGTGTTTAAGTGCCATGGTGGTGATCTGCACTTTGTGAAAGCCATGATGGGAGCAGATTGTTCTTAGCAGGGTTGTGAGCGAGAAGCCGATGGCGTCGGTGGGGTAGTTGTCTACAAATGTTTCCAGACGTTCAAGCACAATAGCTTTGCAGGTGTTGGCCCTTACGATGGCCGGCCGAGCTTCGGCGATAGGTAAAATATTAACATTTAACTATGCCGACAAGAACACTTAGACCTCAAGGTCGGTAGCGTGATATACACCCGAGAGTTCTCACTCCTCAACAACTTTAGTTTTCAGTACTTGATTTTCCGGCCTGAACCAACAGCAATCAAAGAAGCTGCAAGTTGGCGCGCCGATGGATTTTGTTCTTAATCAGGGTGAAGAAGAAGAAGAGTGAAGTAGCCATTTTTGAAAGTTCCCATCAAGGATAGTCATAGAGTTAGTATAGGTGCAAGTCCACAATTGTATATACATATATCAGATTATTGTATGGCAGATGAACTGGCGAAAAAGGGAAACTTTTCGGTGAAGCTCCCAGTGCTGGTATCCCGCTATCACTTTGCAAACTCTGGTTGGAGAATAACTTTGTCGAAAAGGCTAATATACTAAACTACACAACTAATTTAAAGTAGATCCTTGAAGTAAGAACTTTACTTTATTTAATGATATAAACCTGTCGCAGAAAGTCGCAACAAAATTCTACAACTTCTCATTACGAATGGATTGAATGCTGCTACTCTATGAGCATCAGATTTAAAAACATTGGTATTTCTCCGACTACAATGATACTATTTTCGTACAGCTAGCGAGTCTATGTTTAATCGAAATTTTCAAACAATAAATATAGCTTGTGCTAATGTTTGCTAATTTCAGGGAAAAGATTCAAATCAAAATATTGGGGCGTATTCTTGTTTTCGTACGAATCGAAAATCATGAAATTTTCTTATCATTTTCTATACAAAAATTTCAAATTTTCGATTCGTACGAAAACCAGAATACGCCCCATTATATCCCAAAATGCAAATCACTGAATATATTTGAATAAAACAGTATATGTATTTTACAAAAAGAAAAACTGATATTGCTTCCATTCTAAGAAGTGCTTTAATTTAGTAGCACAGATTAGAGATTGACTTGTCTAATTGGTGGTAGACAAAAAAAAAAAAAAATAAAGCATTTTCAAATAAATTATATGTTATAATGAGGGAACGGATTTTTAGGACCTAAAAACCTATAAAAAAGGCAAAATAAAATAACGCATAGGCTGGAAAAGGCAACATAAAATTGCGAAAAATGCAGGAAAAGGCACTAGGTATTGCAAAAAAGGCACTAAAAAAAGACAGAAAATACGAAGAACAATCAAAAAATACATTTATTTTAGAAATGTTTATATTACAAGTAAAACGAGAAAAACTATGAACTAGTTTCATTATATGAAAAATTTGTACTTTGAATCTTTGACTATTTTATCCTTTCGAGTTTCTAACTCATAAAACTTTAATCTGTATAGTTGTAGTAACATTGAACCAAAATATGCATTTTGAAGTTTTCTGGCAGCATTTTCATTCGATTTTCGCGAAGAAAAGCCTTGACTGTACTAAATGTGCGCTCGACGTAAGTTGATACAAGTGGAGCTCAATTTAAATATGGAACGTTTGAAACGTTCATATTATCAGGAATAAGGGCGTATTCCTCGCTTTTTACAATTTTATCCACACCCCTTATTGTCTCCAAGCCTACGTTAGCTGAGAAAACGGCTTTGAATTTTTCCAACACCAATTTGGAAAAGAGGTCCCTGCGCTTCTATAAGCCGCATGGGCATGTGTATATTTCTTAAAAAAAATTGTAAATGCTATAATCACTTTTTTAAAGGTAGAAAAGGCAAAAAAGGCAAATATCTTAAAAAAGGCAAAAAAAGGCAACGTCAAATGTGTATATATGGAATCAGGGAAAGCTAAATCGTGGACATTCTTAATCGAATATACTCTATCTCTTTAGCAGAAAAAAAGGCAATTTCCATAAAATCCGTTCCCTGGTTATAATCATAGGAAAGTAGTGGCACGCTTTCTTGAAGTGTTAGTCAATTAGAAATTTTTTTATAACGATTTAAAAAACACCGCGTTTTTTAACCCGGCGGCAAATCGCTCATAGCGCTGCAAATTAAGCTAAGGAATTTCATTAATTAGATACATTTATGAATTGACATCGGAAATATACATTGCCTGTGGGGCTTTAAAAGATTTGTAAAATTTGAACACTTTTCATTAAAATATGCTATATGCATACACAATAAGCTGCATGTACAGTTGTCCACAAAATAATAGGAGTGCGATATTTTGACCAGTTTT